GATAGTTATTTAGCACCAAAAGCTGCAGAGGAAGGAGGCAGTGAGGGCCAGCGAGGGGGTCGAGGAGGCACCTACGCAGGCGGCAGGTGATGGAGGGGGGGTAGGGAACAAGTGGCAGCAGACACAAATGCAGACAAAAACCCAACCAAACCCCAYGGCAGTTTTCTGGGGCAGAGCATGGGCGGCTTTCTCGAGTGGGCTGTGAGCCACAGGAACTGCAGCTTTGTAGCTTAGCATTGAAGCTACTAAATACCTGTTTATTCTCCTGTTTATGGAAGTAATTTCAGATGAACCTGAAGGATCAGAACTGATTCTTAGCTCTAAGTTAAAGGTGTCCAAATCATCAGGAAAAAAAAAAAAAAAAAAGAATAGAAAAACATCTGCTTTCTCCCATGCTGCCTTCACATATGGAGTTTGACAAAAGAGTCTGAGAATTGCAATGCTGTTTGCCTTGAATGTCACTTTTTTCAGGGATGCCTGCAAGAACAGGTGGCAAATATTACATTGCTGATAGGTGACATGCTGAGAGTCCTCTGCAAGCAGTGGAATCAATAAATGAGCAGAGATGCAATTAAAGATATCGCTGCAAAGATAAGAAAAGAAATGAACATATCCAAAACCCTAATAAAGCCCCCAACAGAGGTCTTCAAATAACTTGTGTCCGTGTGGCCTAGCGCAGCTTCCTACTTTGCCTTCGCCTTRTGATCCAGTAGGATCTAAATCAGTGAGTGCTGGGCATGACCTGCAGTCTGTTTCCGTGAATGGGAAGACTTTCTAAAAAGCTTCCAGCAACAGGAGCTTTCAGCAGGGAAGCACTGAGCAGACCATCGCAGAGGTCTGTAAAGCACCCACAGATGTAGGCGAGAACAGAGGAGGATCACTCRCAGTTCTGCCTTCACGAGTACTCACAAACAGGGATGGCTGAGGTGCCTGTAGACGTTCTAGGCCGTRCAGGACATGTCATGGGATTTCCTGTAAACTGCACTCAGGTACGGCAATGGAGTCTGGCCACTGAACACCTAGCACCAGCATTTCGTGGCTGCTCATCAGAAAGGACCTGACCAACATGCTGCTGGAATTGCAAAGCTTGGTTCAACTGGACTGACTTTATGACAGAAACATATATTCACTTTTATGAATCAGATTCATGGAGATAAATCGCATTTTAAATAAAACACCGGTGCATTCAACCCTACTAATTGGTTTGGTCTATATTTGTACATAATCAACCCAAGAAGACATGGGGCAGCTCTTTAGGTGCCTGTGCAGACCACAGGGGAGCAAGGCAGCCGGCAGAGGAGCTCCAGCTCCGCGGCCACCAGCGGTGCTGCCCCACAGCAAGCGACTCCGCCGCCCGCTGATGGATGGAGCTTGGCGGGGAAGTTGGGCCTGGAGTAGCCCAGCTTGGTGTCACTGCCATGATGGGCTAAGTCTTCTCATCTCGGGGCCCTTCTGTCGCTCAAAAACATGAAAACGTGCCATTCTCTGTGGAGGAAGTTGCTTTAGAAACAGTGTGAGCAGTGTTCCCTGCCAAGGCACTGAAAAATGTCTTCTGTAGCAATGGCAACAGTGAGGGGGAGAGTAAATCAACAGCAGGTATCATTTGCTTGTTACTAGGTGCTTCTCATTTATCTTAAATGCTCTGAATTCCTGCTTTGAATCAGAAGCCATTCTATAAAAACATTTCAACTGGTCTCTAAGGAAGGATCTCAGCAGCACTATCTGCTCTTTCAAATCTAGTCTTGGGTTACTTACCCAATACACTTCAGTCACTAGCTCCTCTATAGACAAGGTTTGAATGGGCAACACTGCTATTTCTGCTGAAAAAAAAAAAAAGGGAAAAAGAAAGGAAAAAAAAAAAACCCCGGCTGGCCAAATGCTGAGCACACTGTGATCCTGTAGCTCCTCTTCTTTCTTCCAAACTGGACGTCGTTGCTGCAAGGGTCCTTCCAGAGCAGCCAGTGTTTGCAGTGTCTTTCCTAATTCCTGTTTGATTTCTTTCCCAGATGCTGGGATTATTATGAGCAAGGGAGAAGCAGATCCCTCAGGAACCAAAACCTCTGCATAGGGCAGGAGAAGCATGGAGGGAAGCTCTATTTCACAAAGGAATTCACTGACTACTTCAGGACAATGTGAAGGGACAGCTTTCTTTACCAATCTCCTATSAAAAACATCCATCCAAAATGATTAACAATGGTTAAATGGTTAAAGGACTAGAGAACACGGTAAGATCCAGTCTTACCTTAATTCTAGAGAATGTGTTTACTTTGGATATAAACAAACACAGCTCAGTGCTGGATAGCAACCCAGTCATGCTCTAACTCCCTAGACAATACCTATGTCTTCATTTATCTGAGACAGTGTCCTTGGTATTCTCAGATTTGTGCTGATGTGCTCAAAGGTGTTGTTTTGAGAGTCACAAACTCTACCGCAATCCAGTAAAGACTGTGACTAGAATATGGCAGCTTTTGGTTCCCAGATGTCCTCGTCACCTTTCTGATTTGTTTGCTCCCTGGACACAAAATACCTTAAGTGAGAGCACCCACTGCCTCCTGAAGGGGCCATTTCACAACTCTGAATAAGAGAGATCTGAAGACAGAAGGGCAGAATTAGAATTACGTTTTATACATCTCACTGACCTCAGCCTCAGCTGTAAGTGGGCAGGATATCTGCAGATCAGGCCTTCCTTTTAGCACCCATAGACGTGAGTGTGCATAGTTAGCGCGCACTGGGGAATATCTCGGTTTAAGTGGGCTGCTCTGTCCATGGGATAAGCGCAAGCCGAGATATCAAGGTATTTCCCTCCTSTGCCCGATTTTGTTCCCACCTCTCCAGGTGCCCTGCAGTGAGCGCTGCTTCGGCTTTTATCTTCTCCTAGAAAACTCCCACCTGCTGAAGGGCCCCTGTACGAGTTTTAAAGCACTTCCCTCTGCGCTCAGGTATTTCAGTGCACCTGTCCTGCCCGCTTGCACTGCTCCAAGGCAAAAGAAGGGGGATATCCAGGAGCGATGGCAATGAACTGAATGGGTAGGGCCAGTGAGGCTCTGGAAATGGGAGCAAGCCACCAGCTTGTTCATGGCTCTAGTGGTTGTGCTAAGAGTTATCTTGCAGTTTTCAGCTCCAAATGGGTTAATAAAGCAAGCAATGTGTTGTCCAGCGGAGTGCTGAGTGACACCGCGCATGTCACTGGCACTGCGCCACTGGGAAAGCTTTGGSGGACACAGCTCCTCCTGAATGGGAGGAAACACCTTCCATCTGTGAGAAGTGCAGCGCTAACTATTTCCCATTTATTCCTTTGCAGTGATCAGTGTTCAAGGACACGAGGGAATMTGGATGCCCAGGTCACCTCACAGTTCCTGTTGCCTGGGCACGCTGGCACCTCGGGAGGCTCTGCGGGCCTCGCTAGCAGGGAGGCTGCCCATCCGTGGGACACGGCATTCCAGCCCCACTGCTCCCTGCGCAGCCTCCCCGGCCCTTGGGCAGATCGGACAGTGCCGGAGCTGCAGGACAGAATAAACAGCACCTCCCTCTCAAGCATGGAGAAGACATGGGACCTTGGAGAATATAAAGGAYGTTTTGAGCATGAGTTTTACCTGAGTTTTGTGCCACTGTGACTACTGATCTGAAAGGAGTTCTCATTTGCCTGGCAGAGGGAGGAAAGTCAACCACATAAAGCTGTGCTTAGGGAAAGGCCTGCAGTTCCTGGGAGCAGCCCCTTGCACGAGTTTACAGAGTAAATTACACCAGATGAGGCTGCTGACTTCACAGGGAAGTGATGAGAAAAACAATACAYCTAGCATGAAAGGAGGACATTTTATCACTTTGCTCAGTTAAAACAAAATTTAAAAAAAAAAAAAAAGGAAAAAAGGATAGCAGTGCTTGACTATGGGGATCCAGTAGCAATTCCGCGTTTCACTGGCCAGCTAATGCCATCTGTCAAAAGATGAAGGTAGCGAGGAAGATTCCTGGTTGCAAATGGCACGGGCATGCAAAGGGCTCTATACAGCTGCCAGGACGGTGAAAAAAMCGTTTTCAGTTTGAAAAAACATTTTCAGTTGTCCTTTGAAAATTCAGCCGAGACGGCCATTCCGAATGCTGTTAACAGTCCCTTGTCTTGACCCATGCCCAGCTCTGTACAGAGACCACATCCCAYGGGAAATGCCCACCTTGAGGGTCGCGGGACCTCAAGCCACCTGGACCCTGTGCAGGGCTCAGGAATGGGAAGGAGGCCCCGGGAGGCAGTGGGAAAGCTCCACCTGGTCAGGCCATGGTTCCAGCAGGGGAGCTGGCCCCGGCACAGACACACAAGCCACCCAAGCCATGGGGACAGTAGCTTCTCACTGGCTTCTTCCCAAGCTCTTACCACAGGCATAACTGCTCCTCGTGAGTTCAGCATCTCACACTGAAGCTCTCTGACTCCAGTCATCCCACCCCTCGCCCCGATTTTGCACCAACTCACCTGCTTTCAAGGGTGCTGCTAAATTTAAACAAACTAGGAGAGATTCAGCCCTCCTCTGTGCTGGCCAGGCTCTCCAAGGACCTTCTGTGCCCGAGGCAACTGCTCCATTCTCCGTTTACCCCACAGGCAACAGCAAGCTGTGCTCCACAAGCAACGTACCCGGCAGGTCACTGAGGGAAATTCAAGGCTTACCATTATATATGTGAACATGTAATGCATTAGTGGATTAATTTCCCMTTGGAAAAATGAATGACAAAGGATGCAGCATGCCACACAAAAAAATAAATAACTGAAACACTAATCATAATTAAAATATTGCAGTCAACATTGTCTGAGTCAGAACCAAGCTACATTATGGGAGCTTTTCACAGTGCTGTTAGGTTTTCAGGGTAACTTTAATGTCAGTGCTTAATGCCTGCATTTAAGTTACCTTGGCTACTGAGGATTCCTGTTCAATCACCTGCATTTTGTTCTCTCTTTCTGCAGTGAAGAACTGTATTATAGAGTTGGGTTTTGAAAAGGATCAAAATACAGGCACAGATACCYGAACCAGTGTATTTAAAATCACAGACAGAATCAAAAAACAGAAGCAAAAAGCCCTAGATCCTCAACATCAACAGTGGGATGAGGAACACAGTTATAGGAAGTGCAGCAGGATTCTCATGATATTGATAATCAACCAGAACATGATGAAAAATCACAGGTTTGMTCACTGACAGAAAAGGCGTGCACAGAGAAGCAAACTATAATGACAGAGCTTTAGCGACACTGCTTTTCTGAAGCGGCGTGATCCCTCAGAAGGCCAAYTGGATCAGGCACAGTTCCTACTGCTACATGAAATCAAGGATAACAGTCTCTTACAGGTGCTCTTCGCAAGCTTCACCGAYCTCTGCATATGTGAACAAAACGCAGGAGCCTTCGGGTTACATCAGCGCAATCAAAACAGGCACCTCACATAAGCAGTTCRGGGAGTAATTCAGAAAACTAAAAATCACATTAGGCTTGCAGTATAAACAGTCCTTAGTTCATGTAAAGTACATGTTCGTTTATATAGAGGTCCCAGATAGATTCTTTTTTAAATGCTTTGTATACTCTTGATGCTGTTGATACAATGGACAGAAGGATAGAGATACAGAAAAAATGACGTGTAATGTAATTCAGAAAAAATACATGCTATGATCTTGGATGTTTCCTAACCTCTTCATCCCAATCAAAATCTAAGGTGGCATCATCTAGCTCCGCTATTGAGAAGAGGGGTTTCCGTGTGAGCGCGCTGGYGTCGCTGGCGTTTCCCAGGGCAAAGCTCTTCCTTTTGCCAGGATTGCTCACGTGCACCTTCAGCAAGGGGCTGTGGCTCCCCTTGCTGTTACTGCCACTCGCCGCTGCAGGGGCACTCTCTGATTTTGGCTCGGGGCGTGATGCGAAGGAGAACCGGCACAGTTTAGCCCACGTGCTGGGACCCACTTGCCCTGTGCTCGAGCCACCAACCTGCTCCGCTCCCTCCCTCTTCTCTTCAGTGGGTGGAAGTGACGCAGCACCAACACTGACACCCGAGTGTGTCRCTGCTCTTCCTCCCCTCTCTTTTGCTAGGGCCTCACTCTGCTGCTCCCCTTTCCCAGCATTACCAGGGGGCCCCTTTTCCAAATTATTTTCTCCTAAGCAAGTTGACTTTGTTTTGCATTTCTCGGAGGAGCCATSTTCTTCCACCAGATGCTCTCCTTGGAGCTGCTCTCCAGGCTTAACAGCTTCATTCTGTAAAAGCCTGAACTCCTTCTCAGAGGAATGACCAAGTTTTGTCCTTGGTCTGAAAGAAAATTTAGCTAGTTTAGCTGCTGGAGGTCCTTCACTGTCCATGACTGCTGGCTCACAGGAACCTACTACCTTTGCTTCCTTCACTGCTTGTTCTTTATTTCGTTTTCTCAGAGAAATTACTGCCTTCTTTGCTGTTACAGATTTGCTGTTCTTGTCCTCCTCTAACACAGGATCCACGTCACCTGAAAGATCTAGCAGACCAGATGCAGACAAGAGTGAAGGAAGTTCTGTGGCCTCGGGGTCCTGTGTGCTCGTGAAGAATCCACGTGATCTCTCTGTGTGCAGCCTCTGCCACCTCTTAGACACATGCTGCGTAACAACCGAGTCCTGCACMCTCGCCCGGGGAGACGCTGGGGATTCAGTACTTGCTTCTGCAGAAAAATATTCATGTTCTTCACTCCTTTTCCTGCTTATCTTGGGAACTTTGTCTTGTTCCGAAGGAGCAGGGAGATGCACAGTTGCTAGTGGTCCTCTCGTTCCACCCCCATTGCTTGGTATTGAGGCATTTCTTTCTCCTGAGCAGGATTTTTCCCTCAGGGGTTTTGAAGCCAAGTCACCTGGAGCTGTCTGGAGCACCGGAGACTCTTCCWGAAACGTTCCTTCTGCATCGTTGTTGTTCTCCTCCAAGCTGTCAAACCAGGCCAGGCTGCCATCACCCCCTTTCTTACTCTGCCTAAGCAGCTGGTCTGTGTTTCTGTCACTACCACATGCCGGGTTGCACAAGGGTTCTGCGTGGGTAGCCCCTCCACAGTTGCCTTTGGCCAAGGAAGACTGTGGCTTCTCTTGCTGGTCTGAAGGTCCTGCCTGACACACTTGCTCTGGCTCCCCAAACGCATCCTTGCTCAAGGATCTTGGAGTCCTGCAGAAACTTGTCTCTTCAGGCTGTTGCTGGCAGGAGTCTTCTTTCTGTAATCTACGGAATGAAAAATAAATCAATCAATAGTATTAGCATTTCATTTTTCCTTTTTTTTTTCCTTYTTCTRTTGTCATAGCAATACTTAATGTRCATGAATGCAGAAAAGCCACCAATTATTTAGGCTATGTCCTTGAATTATTGTCTTACATGAGACTTTCTATGAAAGCTGGTGTAGCAAATTCTGACCTCATTTTGATCTTTCAGCACCTTCTATAGCAAGAGGCAGAATTCAGTGTCCCCAGTAGGAGACAGGCACATGGACAGAGACAGCAATTACCTAAACTTCATTTCTGTGGGAAACCAAGCTAAAACCAGCATTGTATTAATGACAACCACTGCTAAAGTCCMACAGCTACTATATATTCTGTCAGCGTATCTCCTGGAGTAGAGAACCACACAGATTTACCATGAGCAGGGCCAACTCTCAGCAGAGTTGCCACCATGGAAAGCCTATTACCTGCAGGAGTGGCTGCTGGTGGGCTTCTCTCAAAACCACTACAGTGCCAGCATATGAAAACCCCCATGTAATAGACAGAAAGCATCCCAGGTCATCCACAAAACCCCCATGTAGCAGAGAAAAAGCCTCCCAGGTCACCCGCTGTCCGTTCCCATCAATATTCTTGGGGCTCTCCAGAACGATAAATGGATTAGTTCCCTTCTTTCTTGGTATGGGTTATATTCTGCCTACTGTCCCTAAAGATACCCTCTTCCAAAGGATAYTGCATTCTTCTGCGTTTGCTGAGTAGTGATTCTAGCCATGAGTGAAAAGCAGCATGTTTTCCCGCATCCCAGGAGCCTTCCAGCACACGGTGCCATGACTCACGTGCACTGCTTTGTTATGTGACAGAGAACACCTTGCATTKCCAGGTAGCTCCCAGGATCATTAGCATCCTTTCTTTCTAAGTTTGTTCAAACAGAAAACACGTAAATTTATGATGGATAGGAACGGTCAGACTCACTAAGAATGGCTGAAAGATCCATGCTTGTTTATGAAAATACTGAAAMTTCCTGTGGAATTTTTCAGGTTTATGAAAACCTGAAAACTAAGGTTTAAGAGGAAGGCCTGTGACAAGCCTAACACAGAACTGGTTGTTTTAAAGAGGACACTGAGTATTCTCTAAGCTGCTTGGGGAGGCAGAAGAAGAAATCAGCTTCATTTGCAGCACAGGGGCATACGRGCAAAACCTTTTGGAGTATTAGGATGGAGCAGTAACGGAAGGAATATCCAGTGGCCATGGGAAACCTCCTTCATTAGAGGGCCTTAGGAGCAGATAAGCAAGTCCCTGCCAAGAAGGTCAAGGACAGACCTGATCCGGTCTTTTCATTTGATCTTCCTCCCCACCCTACATTTCTATGATCCTTTAGGAACACACCTCTGCTTTAAAACTAGCTTTGGTCTGTCTGTTGGAGATACCTGACCTACATCTGCCTCTTTCGCCTCTCTGCTTATTTAGGATGTCCTTACTATGAATTATAAAACAGATCTAAAAGTATTTCAAGGAAAAAAAAAAGTATTTTCCCAGCGGCTGTCATTCCTTTAGCTTTAATAACATCAGTCTTTTATCTTCCTTTAACAATAAGAAAGAATCAGTTTCTTTAGGGCTTAATCTCATTTGAGGAAATAAATGTTATTTTTTTATCTTATTTCCTTCCAATCCTACTGCTCTTCTCTCAGTGTTAGCAAGTTAAAAGAAGTTTTCTATTAACAGAAATAGACTTCCCAAAGATTATAGGAGTGACCTGAAACTAGAGAAGAGTCAGTGAAAATTCCTGCATGTTAAAATGATAAATCACCCAGAAGAACAGAACTTTGATTCAAGCTTATATTTTCCATTAATGGAAAGGCAAGGACAATGATAAACCAGTGCAAAAGAAAGCTTAAAAATGTAAAGCAGATCTGCTCTATTTTACCATGCAAGGAATGAGAGGCGATATGAAATGATGTTCTCGGGTACCCMATCTGCCATTTCGGCCCTAATAAGCTCAGCTGAAACTTAACAGGCCACAGAAATGAGACCTGAGTTGGGAACTCAATAAAACATTCTTCAGTTGTTGGTAAATTCTATAACCCAGAGTGAAAAATGATCTTGTTATGCTCAGACTACCACTTCAAAACAATCTCCCTGCTTATTCCCGTCCTCTAAAGGATAAGCCCTTTCCCAGTATCAGATTCTATTTTTAGACTCTCTCCAGGTATTATTGTCAAATAACTCTTTTTCTCTGCTAAATGATTTTGCTGCTGTGCATCTCATTACCTGTCGAGTCTTTGCAGCTCCTTGTGCAGAAGGTCGGGCAGCTCCAGTTGCTCCAGGATGAGCTGGCACTGGACCCGGTACTGGGCCGTCGGGTTTTCCGGGAAGGACGTGTGCAGGGCATTGATGCCTCCGAGCAGGGCTCCTCCCTGCGCCGCCAGAAGGGACAGGGAGAAGGAAACTTGGTCATTCAGAATCAGATTAAACAGCAGAGAAAACTTATACAAAATGCACCCCGMGACATTTTAAAACTTGAGGTAGCCAATATTTACTGCATACTAGCTAAAGAGGCCCAGTAGCTCTGCTCACCTGGGCAAAATTGACCATACACAGAAAGCAGCTCCCTGATCAAACCTGCAGTTTGCTGCTACTTTTTGTAGGTTTATACAAAACACGGGATGTCCACCTAAGGCTTGAGAGCATCATTGAGAAACTAGGTATTAGAAGTAAGATTTCTGCCATGTGAGTACCTTCTATAACAAAAGCAGGGTGGACTGCTATAGTCTTTCATTAGCTTCTTCTAATTATTTAAATGGACCCACCTGAGTATTGGGGCTGTCAACACCAGGGAAATAGGCTGGCAAAAATATTTCTGGAATAACTCTAGCTATTCAGGAATACTTCCAGAGTGCCAGTGACTTTAATCTGGGACAGTTTCTCTGCCTCCTGTGAGAAATTTTGGAACAGAGTTTTTTTGTTTGGAACTGAGCACCTGCACATGACTTTTTTTTTCTTTTTTTTTTCTACAACAAATATTCTATAAATCTCTGTAGTTAATTGTTCTTTTGAGAAAACAAAACCCTTATTCTGCCACAGATTTTTAAAGATTCACAGATCTATAAAGCTCACTACAAATAATGAACAGGATGCACATCAAGGACCACGAGGAAGACCAAGGTGCAGTGACTCTCTAGGTCTGTGATGCTGTATGTGGAAATGTGTTTTTCTATTTTTAAAATTTCATATTAAAAAATCTCTCAATGAAAGAATATCATCCAGGTGGCTAAGCTTAGCCTTCTGAAACTCCTGAGTGCTAATACTGAGGCTGCCTGTGTAATCCCTCATGCAGCCCATTTAAATGATCCTTTTTTTTTCCCATGTGATCATGTCACTGAAGGATATGACAGAACCGTTCCACATCTTAAATGCATTAATCTGTAGTGATGGAAAGGGCTGTTGTAGGACCCCCCTGCCTTATCTCTTYTGGGAAGCAGCGAGTGCAGTTAATGAAGTGGGGGAGACTGCAGTTCAGTCTGGTCCCCTGTTAGGAGAGCYGGAGGGTGCCACGCAGAGTCACGTCTTATCCGTGACTCCGGGTGCTGGTTCCTGTGCTCCAGAGCAGGCCAGTCCAACAAAGGGTGTCCTGGGTGATACACCTGTAAATGGGAGCACGGGCCGTGGGGGTAACTGCAGGCAACAGGCGTCCAAGTGCCCCTACTCCAAATTGGGGTCCCGACGTCTCTCGTGAGGCTCCACGGGGAGGTACCACTGTCCAGGGGACAACTTCTCCTCGACGCAGTCTTGCATGTGGCAGCTGTAAGTCACCATGATAGGACACCACCATCCATCACTTCATCGGGACCACGTGCAGATGAATGAATGAAGGACACTTCTAATATGCCCGCACACAAGGGACAGACTCCAGAGAAGGCCCCAGCAACGTGTGACCCTTCTGTCGTCAGAAGAGCAGCTGAAGGGCACGTAGGGAGGAACACGCGCCAAGACCCTGACGTGGAAGAGCTGCTTCTGTGCTGAGCGCTGTGAGCCTGCGAGGGGAGGACCCAGCGCAAAACATACGGATCCTCTGCTGACCTTGAGGCATCTCGAGAATCCTGAAGGGGTTCCTTTACGCCTCGCTCTCCTTGATGTTTTAGTGCTTTATTTTAACACCACARTTAGTTTCATTTAAGTTAGCACAAAGGAAGAGTTAAAAGTGCATGAGGGGAGTAAACATGGGCGAARAAAAGCATAAAAGAAGGAATGGAAGGGGAATAAAACAAGGATGAAAATATGACCAGGAGAAGAAGGAAGACAACAACTGACAAGGAGAATGTGGGGCGAAGAAAAGATCAAGTGAAGCCTCAAGGAACCATAGGGGGAAAAAAAAAAAAAAGAGAGGAAATTCTAGTCAAATGGAGGCTTAAGAAAAAATAAAAATTTGGAGGCAGAGTATAAAATATGAGGGAGGCGTGTGCAGGGGGTTGCACTAGGTGATCTCCAGAGGTCCCTCCCAACCTGAAGGAGTCTGTGATTCTGATTCAGTGTCCAGTGCAGTGGGCAGTGATGATTCTACAACACTGCAACTAGGAGAGTTTTAAACAGAACCATCTCCTTCAAAAAGAAACCCTTTCTGGGAATAATTTATGTTTTGCAGCAGTTAAATATGCCTCAAGTTAAGCAAAGTTCAAATTTGCAGATTCTTAGCAAAGATGAAACACATTTGCCTCCTTGCTCGTAGAAGCGGACAGTGGAGTAAACCCGGTGCTTCTGCAGTCATAATTCATGCAGATTTCCCACTGACTTTTATTAGAGGGAAGCTCATCACACAAATTAGTGTCTTGAGTGGTAGTTCTCTACAAATACGAAAAAGTGACCTACAGTTAAAACAACTACCACTTTACATTTATTAATGTTTATGAGGCAMGGACACACAGAATATACATTCATTAGCTTCCACTGAGCTGTTATGAAAAAAAATCTAATATTTCAGGTATCTTATATCCAAAACCATACTGCTTTGAAACCAGTGTCCCATCAAATTCCAATCTGGCCTTAATTATAGTTAATTAACACTTCTGTAATGCCTTCTGCAGTTTCAGGGGGATATATTATGTGCTGTAGCTTCCCACTTCAACTCGGATGCAGTACTGTCATTGGAGAGCTTAACTCTCTCAAACAGCACAGGATGAACTGCAGCAGACAGCAAAATAATCTGTAATATTTCTGAGACAAACTCCATTGACAACACTGGAGCAGATTACCAGTGCCACATACTGCAATTAGTGTCTCATTTGTTGAAAGAAAAAGGCAGTTCCTGTGGCCTCTGTGTGAGCYGAAGCTTTGCATGTCTACCCTGGGGAGCTCCGTCTCAGAGAGGAGAGCAGACTCTGCTCCTGCAAAGTCCTTGAGGTGCTTCAGCCTAACAGGAACTAAATGAAATTGCTTTAATATGAATACATTCAGGAAATAACGTTGTGCATCATTCAGTGGAGTACACAATCTCTGAAAGAGCCACAGCCAAATACTTCAGAAGTGCTAAAAATCTCCTGCAGAAAACTTTGGATAACCTGCTTATGGTAATTTTTCTACTTTGAAGCATAAAGATTTATCTCCCTTAAAAGCATTCTACCTGAAGTTCAGTGCCTATATGATGTTCAACCTTTCTATAAAAAAAAGAGAATATACCAAAGTCAATTCTATTGATTCATTCTAAGCATGTTGCTCTTTTGTTATCATCAGTGTTTTCAACTTCTAAAGTTCAAAAGTAAAATTAGCCTTCTAAAAGTTCTGAGAGTTTCAGGATCACTATCAATATAATTTAAAAKGATCTAATGGCAAAATAAAGTGTAGCACTTTGCAACTATTCTGAAACTTTCTCAAAAAAAAAAATTTGGTTCCCTCATATCTGATTAATAAGGGACAAGGTAATATCATGGGAGAAAAATCCGTTAGAGGCTATTAGACCCAGAGGCTATTAGACCCAATGGCCACATAGACACAGTTTCTGGGTCAGAAAGTCTTTAAAATGCAACAAAAACCTGAGAACACACCAAGWCTTCAGCTGGAACAAAAAGTGCTGTAAAAATACAGGTGCCCATCCTTTATCTACTRCCTACCTAGATTTGTTGGCATAATCAATATTTAAGGATTTTAATCAAGACGGACTAAAAACACCTCCTTGAAGTCTCTGACAGCTTAATTTCCTGAAATCACCTTCCAAGAGGTGAAGGGAGCTGGCACRGAGCCGCAGGATGACCCGGGTCCCTTAGCCCGGCTCGGCAGCAGTTCCTGCAGGAAGCCTTACCTGCATGGAAGATTCCATCACCGACACCACGGTCACGGCATCCTCCAAAGTCACCGTATCCCTGAACATCAGCCGGGCGTGAGCTGGCAGAAATAAACAGGCCATGAAAACACGCACTACCACAGGCAAAAAGTCTCTTTTCTTTCTTTTTGTACTAGAAAGGACAGGATGTTTCTTCGGATTTCTTCAGCTTGTCAGCCGCTTTTGCGTGGGACTAATTTAAACACTAATATAATTCTCTTGACTTTAGTGTCAGTTTTCCACAGGAACTGGAAGGCCTAGTTTTACTAATCAAGTATGTAATGTGAGTTCTGGATTATAGTTACAATGACAGCTTGACAGGGCTTGAATAAAGATACTCAAAGTGCAAGAGTTGCAAAGTGTGAAGTGTTGGATAGGGCACTAAGGAGCATTACATAAAGTACACCTACCTACATAGGTAGATGTAACCACAGTAAGTCAAAAATTAAGTCTATTTTTCATCATAAGTCAGAAAAGATTTGATTTTCATTAATTGGTTTGTGTCAAAAATTCAGTACTATTTAAACACATTTTTCTCTAGAAAATTTTTGTCTAACTTCCCTCTCCTAAGGCCCCAAGATAAAACTGCTGTTTGTAAATGGCTACCATGCTAATAATTTACCACATGAGGCTATCTAAATTGACTGTAAGAACATACAAGAAAAAGAACATCTTCTTTTACCAAAAGAGAAAGGCAGCTTAATTAGTGCCTTTTATATAATATTTGAAAAAAACAAAATGCTGCTGGAAACTGCAATCATGTAAACACACATGAATGGAAGAAGCTTTAGCATATGAATACCAAGTGCATCTCTACGGAGGTATGAAATGCCTTTTATCAAAATAAGCTCCTCCCCAAAATGGAGACCAAAACATAATCATCTGCTGCAGAAAGTGCTACATTGCTGATTGGTGTAAAAAGCATAAAGACTATTTGTAATTTGTTACATATAATTGCAGTTTGTTCTTTTAAATTCTCAGTGAAAATACCTGATATTTGTGTGATTCTGTGACATGTCATCTTAAAAGACACAACCATGCTAAGATATTGTACCATAGAGACTAGATTAAGAGTAAAGGAAACAAAAATATGTTATTTTTGAAATTATATTAATTCTAGGATGGAATCAAATACTTAACCCCTTTACTCAGGCAGAATAGGATGGGAACCCTGGAATCAGATGGAGTAAAACAAATCCCAAGATTTTTTTTAACAAAGACACGTAACTTATGAGACTTTTTCCTCAAATCTAATTTCTTCCCGTGGCTTTAGTTTGTATCATGGGTGTAAGAACTTCAGAATTAAAACTGATGTTGATCATGCAAAAACGACACCCTTTCCCCCAACTCCAACCCTCAGCCTCCTTCAATAGAGGAAACACCACCAAGTTTCACCTTCCCCATCTCTGCAGCTGCGACGCTGCTCTAGCTCATAAGATCCGAGCTCTAGCCCATGTGATCTGAGCTCTAGTCCATCTGTCCCAAGCTCTAGTCCATCTGTCCCAAGCTTTAGCCCATCTGATCCAAGCTCTAGCGAGATGTCACCTTCGGCGAGGCGCACGAGGCTCTCCAGCAGGCGCACGGTGGTGCGGGCGGCGCTGCGGCCGCCGCTCTGCCGCTGCCGCTGGTAGTAGCGCACCAGGACCGCGTGGCTCTCCTCACACAGCTTCGGCTGCAGGCTCTTTATGAGGCAGAAGTAGGTTTTCATCTTCTCCATGCTCCACAGCTTCTCTGATTTGCTTGGGAAACCTGCAGGGCGACTTCCCTACTCAGTAATTTTATTACAATCACAGACATGAAGCTTTTGCCTGACAGTTCCTGTTAAACAGGCAAATATAAAAAGGTGCTTTACTCTATTTTGGGGCTGCACTAGGTTGTCTGCACCTCAGTCCTCAGGGACTTGAGTGAAATCCTGTCTAGTTCTGGGCTSCCCAGGACAAGAGGGATGTGGAGCTGCTGGAGAGAGTCCAGCGCAGGGCTACCAGGATGATCAGGGGCCTGGAACATCTGCCMTATGAGCAAAGGCTGAGRGAGCTGGGYCTGTTCAGCCTGGAGAAGAGRAGGCTGAGGGGGGACCTGATCAGYGTSTATAAATACCTCAAGGGAGGCAGTGAGGAGGAGGGGKCGRCCTCTTTTCAGTGGTGGACAGYGATAGGACTAGAGGAAACGGCCACAAGCTGAGGCACCAAAAGTTCCACAGGAACTTAAGGAAACAYTTCTTRACAGTGAGGGTGACAGAGCCCTGGMACAGGCTGCCCAGGGAGGTTGTGGAGTCTCCTTCTCTGGAGAGCTTCAAAACCCSCTTGGACGCAGCCCTGTGCCACGTGCTGTAGGTGACCCTGTGTGAGCACGGGGGTTGGACTAGATGACCGCTGAAGTCCCTTCCAACCTCAACCATTCTGTGATTCCGTGATTCTGTGAAATCCCAGTGTGAAATCTTACACGCCATCCAWATCCTCGCAGCAAAGCCTGGGGTAAAGGCCCCAGTAACTTCAGTAGAGCTGCTGTCAGATTCACCGCTGGGAAGTTCTCTGAGATGTGAAATATCACATCATACACATGTACCTCCTCTAACTGCTTTACCTACACTGTAGGAGACAATAGCTACCTGCCATATTCTGAGCTTTATCTCATTCCTTTTGCAGGCAAACATTTCTGGAAGGGAGGAGGCAAGCTGAAGTTCTCCCTAAGTGCTTCTTCTCTCATGGGGAACAGCGTCCCATTGCTTAAAGGCCTGGAGAAGGGGTTGGTTACAACCAAACTGAGCTGCTTGCCCTGTTTCCAGAGCACACACCTCCACATACGGAGGGCTACTTCTCAAGCCCTGCATCACATATGGCTCATATGTTTTGATCTGCCTAAATTAGCTAAGTTCCCATTACTGGTGTGTGAAGCTGTATTGAGTAGGATCTGCCCATTAAGCAACACAAAGGCAAGATGGAAACCATTCACTTACTGACCCCTCTGGGCTGAAACCTGCTGCCTGTGATCAGGGAATACAGGTGGTTGCGTGTTCACACCTCACCCCTGCTAATTTGTTAGCAAGCTCTACCCCATTCCTACTGGGAGGACAAGCAACTACCACAGTGAACAGGTAAACACTGATTAGGGTGAAAGACTGCAATGAACTAAACTCTAAGTGGGCAAAATTTGAAACTATATGTATATAAATTTAGAAGATCAGTCTTACCTTTATTTTCCAAGATGAAGGAAGAAATGATGCGGTCCCATTCTTCATTCTTTGTATCTARCAGTACTAAGACCAGGTCAAACCTGCTCAGCAGAGGGCTGCCAAGGGCTATGTTGACCGAGACAGATTCATTAGGGTCATAGTGTCCTTTGGGATTTGTTGCAGCCAATATAGTTGTCCTTGTATTAAGCTTGCACACCAAGCTAGAGAAAAGCATTACAGACATTACAGCTGAATTAAATTGGGTATAGGTTATTCTTTTGAAGCATAACCACAATGATCCCTTTTTTTGTGCTTTAGAGAGCTCAACTGGTCTTGAAAGACAATACAGAGCTAACAACACATACACTTATTATACATAYACACACATGGGAAGTATTTCTCAGTTGAGGAATAGCAACTAGATAGAAAAACTATGATCAAGACACCAAAAGTAACAAAATAGGTAATATATCCATGAGTAGTCTCTCTCTATATATACAGCTAAGTCTTCAGCTGTTGCAAAACCAACACAGCATTTCAGAAATAAATGTTATTTTGCTGATTTATATAGCATAAAAATATTTTTTTTATGATGGAAAGTAATAGGTTAACTTAATTCACATCTTAAGAAAATAAATTGTGGTATATATGTATGTTTTACTAATTTGCCTAAGCATGTTATGAACAACATAACTATGATGGCAGCTGTATCAACTATTTTTAAGGGAAACAGTTATTTTCCTCTTTTAGTTAAGCTATCTTGATATGTGTTTTTAGATGTGGGGAGATTTTTTTTTTTTAAAGATGTAGGAAAATATTTTTGTTTTAGGAGTCCTTCCCGTTAGGGCGGCAGGAAGCGTGGACTCCAGCTTTGGATTGGCACTGGGCTGTTTGTAGTCACCTCCACAGTAGCTGTTGCCTCAAGCCCAGAGCTCTTGTGCAGTTGTGAGCAAGGACCACAGGTTTTCTGCTACAGACTAGACSTACAACAAGACTCCCACAGAGCCAGCTGCAGGTCTGTCCCAAAAGAGACAACTGCCGAAATTCCATGATGCCTCGATGGAACTGCTCACATGGAGTGTACGGAAGTACTTTATGTAGTATATTTGTAGAAATATTTTATGTATTCAAACTGTCAGTTACTTGTATTTTACTCTTCTGKTTTTTTTTCCCTTTCATTTCAAATTCTTGAGGCTACAGATTTTGGCACTGACAGCACACAGTCACTTCCCAGAAGTTGCCAGAATAGAAGGAAAATCTTAATAGGCTGCACAGAGGGTATGTGATGCTTAGGTAAACTCAGGCAAAACTCAGGACCATTTTTAACATAGAGTACAATATGGCTAAAATTCTTGATACAGCTTAGGGAAAGGATCTGCAGCAGATCTGTTTTACAGGTACCAGCAGAATATTCAATAATTCCTGAATATTTTCAAGGAGAAAGAGGTAGGTAAGAAGGAAGGAGGAGTAGAAAAAAACAAAATAATCCCCCAAATGGCATAAAACCTCAGGGGACGAAGAGAGAGATTCAATGGAGGTTGTCAAAATAAAAAATGRCATGACCAGGAAGAGCCAAAAACTTGTGATCTGGGTAAGAACAGGAAGGAAGGCAACAAGGTGGAACATGAAAAAGGTAATACTTTGGAGCAGCTGGTATTCAGTAACACTAGTCACCAAAGGATTTGGTGCATTTGATCAGGAAAAAAAAAAAATACAGCTAAAAGACCAAACTGGCAGAAAAGAAAAAAATGCAGATTTGAATACGGGCATTGGTTTGAAAAGGTTTCAGCAAGAAGCTGAAAAATTGAGTTTAYATCCATGGCACACCCAGCAGATAAAACTGCATGGCCTGGAAGTCTCCTGGTCTTCTTTCACTGCCACTCYGTGTTTCTCAGCTCTGGGCAAACAGAAGCCCTTGCTTCTGAGCTCCAACACAAATGTCACCGAGTTCCTCATTTCACTTAYGACTATTAGGACAACTCCCATTAAAAGACAAGCTAAAAACCCACAGTCTTTATACATGGGAAGATGCCTTTCCCTGCAGCGGTAGACTGAACACAAAACAGCACAGAGGCCAGGTATTTACTCTGGTCGTGAGCAGTCCCTGGCCCATTGCACTGCCCTTTGAAACCCTGGCTCTCCTAGTTTGAGAGTACCACCAAGAACCAAACCACACAGCCCAGCACACAAAGCTGCTGCATTTAATCCACGTGGGCAGCACCTCTCCGGCCTCCTTGATCTGTGAACGCAGGAGAAACGCCCTATGCCATTTTGTCCCATGGAGTGCGGTGCCTCTTACCCTGCCTTGGCCACGCTGATGGTCTGTTGCTCCATGGCCTCGTGGATGCTGGTGCGGTCGTGCTCCTTGATGCTGTTGAACTCATCGATGCAGCAAAGGCCGCCGTCCGCCAGCACGAGCGCTCCCGCCTCCAGGTTCCACTCGCCCATGTCCTTCACAGCGGTCACGGTGAGGCCTGGGGGGGCACACGCGGCTCACAGGGAGCTCGGGGCGCCCCGCAGGCGGGATGCAACCCGCTGCTTGCTGCAGCCTGCACCGCTGACCCCGCTCCGCGCTGCCTGCCCGTCACGCGCCTTAGYGCGTCCGCAAACACGCACCAGTGACCGCCGTCTGTGACGGCTGTGACCAGTGACGGCTGGCTCTGTTAGGCGGGACTGAAATGCCATGGTGGTGAAATTGCAAATGGGTGCACGTGGCGCCTCCTGCCCATCACCTGCGAAAGCAGGCAAAGATTCCCGAGTTGCACAATGAAGCCTGGAAAAATAAACTATTTCACGAAGCTGACAGAGATGCTCACTCTTTACTAAGGCAGTGGGGTCTCCTTTTGAGATCTGAGCAGGTACCTATAAACCCGCGCGCTGGGACACAACACAGGCCAGGAAAACCTCCTGTCATGTGTTCTGGTTACAGATCCACACACTCTACACCTCTCTAGCAAAAACTGAAATAGAGCAATAAATAAGAGTAAAGAAGTAATCTAGCAATACAGTGATATTTCTGTGATACCGTCCTGGCACRGTTCTGAATTGCAGGCTAAGGGCCAGGCCTCTCGCTAGGCCCTTAAACTGGGGTTGCAGCTGGGGCTGTAGCTAAACCCACGGGAACGGCCGCTCGTTATGAAATACGGGCAGCTCCTTTCCAAGTCCGAATTCCCTATTTCCCAGCCTTTTCTCTATCTTTAGCCCTTCTTTGTCACTCGGCAGTGTTCAGCTCAAAATATCCTCGTAGCTGACAAGCTGCAACCAGCCTAAAGTCCCCTGGGCTGCGAGCGCAAAACCAACCACAGGATCCTCCCATGGGAGCTTCATCATGGGAATCTGGAGAGAGGCTCCTGCCTTCTCACCACTGTGTTGATGACCACAGCGGCTGTTCACTCCCRAACGGACAAGAATTTATTGGAAGTATATCACATGTATTTAAGATATGATGTATGTTAGCTGGTTAAGAAGAACCTCTTTTATTGTGCCCCATTTTTCCTGCTTTCCTAGAGGCTGTAGCCCAGGACTAATCAACGACACAACCGCATGGGCAGTTGATTAGACAGTGGAATGGTGGAAACCCAAGTGATCACTAGTTTTCTGTCAGACGCGAGGAGGAAAAACTAAAAAAGCAAAAAGCATATAGCGAGCAGTAGGTGGGGCAGGCAGGCGTGCCGACGACGCCATTTCTCTGTCAGTACAAAAAAGAAAAAGAAGAAAAAAATAAATAAAACGTTTAAAAGC